AATCAGAGATGAAAGGATCCAATAAAATAATCCATAAACCAGTCCAGCTGCTGTTGAGTCAACTCCAACTCATGGTGACCCCATGTGTGTCAGAGTAGAACTCTGCTCCACAGGATCTTCAATGGCTGATTTTTTGGAAGTATATTGCTAGGCCTTTCTCCTGAGGTGCCTCTGGGTGGACTTGAACTTCTAACCTTCTGGTTAGCAGTCAAGAGTCTTAACCGTCTGGACCACCCAGGGACACCAAGTAATTCATACTAAGGTGATAATTACCTAAGGGGCTACTCCTAGGAAAGGAACCTAGATATCAGAGTGGGAGAGGAGTGTTTGGGCAAAACTTCTCAAAAAATAAAAACCAGTTGCCATCAAGTTGATTCGGGCTCCTGGCAACCCCATGTGTTTCAGAATAAAAATGCGTCTATAGGGTTTTCACTGGCTATTTTCAAATCATGAGAGGGGACTCCATGTTCCTCCCATGGACAAGGATAGCCCAACAGGGTGACCCCGCTGCCTTAATCAACCAAAATGGACAAGAGTGTGGACCCAATGCCAGGATCTGGGAGAGGCAGTGGGGCATGGACACTGAGGCAGAGGCCAGGATCAAGAAGATAAACCTGGAAGCCATTTAGGAGTGATCTGGAGGTCACCTGTGGGAAGAAGACATCCACCTAGGGTCTGCCCTGGTAGAAAGCAGTAGGGGCATGCCGGCTTAACAGCTGATACCTGTGAGATGGAGGACGATGGCTGCTTTATTATACATTCTTCTATAATATATAATCTCTAGAATCTATATTGTTTCAATTTTTCCGCTATGAGTATATTTACTCAGTCAACAAATTTATTGAGCTCCTATTCTATGCCAGGTATTGCAGCATATATTCCATTTATAAGCTAAGAACAGCAAACAACAGAGGGAGAGAGCAATACCAGCAGGAAAAGAGGCTGGATAAACAGTGCCCCAAGCTCATAATCTGCTCTGATCCAGATCAGATCACAGAGCTCCTCTTTGCAAAGAGGCAATGAGACCTAAGGAAGCCTTAGGACTTCTAATGAGAGGCACGGTGCTGTAGGGGTGACAACACCTAATGATGGTTTCCATTCATTGAGTGCTTCCTGGGCGTAGGGCGCCACCTCAGTACTTCATGTGGATATTTCATCCACTCCTCGCGAGATCCCTGTAAAGTAGGAACTACTGCGGTGTCCACTTTAGAGACGAGGAACCTGAGACCTAAGGAAGATAGCTTGGTTAAAGCCATTCAGCTGGTAGGCAGCAGAGCCAGGATCCCAGCCTCCTGTTCACTGCCTCCAGACTCGTCTCCAACATGCTTGACTTGTGAGACACAGGCCTGGCGGGAAACGCTGCTCTGCATTTTACTCTGAGATAAAGGAGCCCCTGCTGGCACAAACTGTTCAGCGCTTGACTACTAACGGAAAAGGTTGGTGGTTCAAACCCACCTAGAGGCTCTGCGGGAGAAAGACCTGGCGATCTGCTTCTGTAAAGATTACAGTCAAGAAAACCCTATGGGGCAGTTCTAGTCTGTAACATGGAGTCTCTATGAGTTGAAAAACAACTGGATGGCACCAACAACAAAGCCTTCTTGGGCCCTGATGTTCCTACATGGCCTGGTGCCCTCCCTGGCTTCTGGTCCTTACCTGGCAGGTATTCTCAGGTAGGGCTGGGGTGGAACCGGGCCTAGCATGCCCCTTATTTATTTGGGAAGGGAGAACACCAACTGCAGTGTCTAAAGGCTATAGGATTAAAACTCCCCATTGCACTGTAAGTACATCTTCTTCCTTATCCCCTATTTAATTTTCAAAAATAAGCAGGAAATAAGTAAAATTCATCATACCCTTGCACCTCAGCTCCAACGGCTGAATGGACGTTTACGTGACTGAATAAAACCTCTTCAAAATCTGAACACCTTGGAGGACCTTCCTAAGCAGAGAAGAGAAATGGGTTTAGAATCAAAGTTGCAAGCCGTTGTAAGATATCAAGCGATGTCTAGATCACCACCTCACATATAATTTATTCCTCTGTGTGTGTGTGTGACTAGGATCAAGACAGCAGGCAGGAAGAAGTCATGGAAATTCACATTAGAGTTGGGAGCTTGCATAGTGGTATGTGTGCTCCATTGCAGGTCTTGGGTCACCCACTGACTGTGGTGTCTTCTGCCCACCCTGAGCCACCCCTGCTGCACTCTATTTAGAAGAGGGACCAGAATGGTGGGAAAGCCACAGTGTGGAGGGCATCTGTTCTTGGTTGGGCTCTTCTGGGTGAAACAGGATTTTATTAGCCCTGGTTCAGAAGAATACAAAAATAAAAGCATGGCTCTGATACATATGCTCTTGAAGCTTTTGGCATTTGAGTAACAGCAGACACCACAGTCAGACTGACAGAATTTCCAACACTTGTGGTAAGCAAAGACCAGTGTGAGATCAAGGGCTCAGGAAGAGGGGAGGGAATGTGTGGAGGAGCAAGGGAATGACATTAAAGAAAGAAGGGGCGAGGAACTGGAGAATGGTATGGCTCTATTATATGAAACGCCCAGAATTTGGAGACCAGGTGGCACAGTGTTAACAGCTCGGCTGCTTACCAAGCAGCTCCTTGGAAACCCTATCAGGCAGTTGTACTGTGTCCTATAGGGTCACTGTGAGTCGGAATCGACTCGATGGCAACAGGTTTGGTTTGGGTTTTTTTTTTTTAAATAGACAGAAATAGGTTAGTGGTTGCCTAGGGCTGCGTAGAATGGGAGGGAGGGGCTTAGGGAGGTGATGACTAAGGGGTGATGGGTTTCTTTGGGGGGTAATAAAACGTTCTAAAATTAGTTGTGGTGATGGTTGTGTAACACCACTATGAATACACCAAACCTCACTGAACTATACATTTTAAATGGGTGAATTGTATGGTATGCGAATTGTATCTCAATAAAGTTGTTTAAAAAAAACAAACGGCAGCCCTGCAGATAAGGGAGGCATGATGGACAATGCCTACTGAGGACCTTCATCAATATGGCCTCAAAGACCAGCAAAGCTAGAATTCAAGGCTTGTGAGAAATGGAATCAAAATGGAAAGTGTGCTTCAGGACAACTACGACTACAGCACTTTGGGGCCATTTTGCTGTCACGCAAGAGCCCTGGCTCCATCAAGGGAAGAGTCCATCATGGTATTGCACACCCTGGATATATAAAGGGCTTATCAGAAGCTGGGAAAATGTCACCAAAACTTCGTAGGCATCTAGACCTAAAGACACCCACCTCTAGGACTTTTGGAGAAAAGAGATGGAGCCCGAGAGGCTGGTGGCTGGGAGGGCTCAGTTCCTTTTCTCCCTCACCTGGTCCTTGCTGCTGTTGGACTGAGTATGGACCACACAGTCTGGGACTTAGAGCCTTGGTGGCCTTGCTGCTGCCAGGCAAAATCGCACTAAAACAAAGAACTCCAACTAGGAATGCGTTGACCTCTAATAATATATGACTCAAAATAACCACTAGAAATTCTTATCAGAGTTAACAAATTTATTCATTCTTTTGTTGATAATCTATCCTTCAAATGATGCACACACACACACACACACACCCGTTATACTTGGTTTCCCATCACATTTTAGAATCATCTCCTCCTGCCAAAGTGTGGAACTACAGTTAATGACTCAGATGTAGGCAATGGACAACACTCTATTCCAGGGTCAGCCAGCATCCATGTGTGTCCTTCGGGACCCCAGAAGAGACAGAAGCCTTCGGTCTACTCCAAGGAAGCACTTCAAGAACAATTCCTTCAAACACCATGCCTTACGGTCTCCTCAAGTGTTGTCTTTGAACCTCAGACCTTTAAGTACACAGTGGAAACTTTCCTTTCCCCTCAAAGGATTTTCACTGCCCTCCCAACTCCCCTCCCCGCCACCACTGTGGCCCTCCCTACATCACACCTCAATTCACCTTGTCGTTGGACTCCAGTGTGGAGCCAAGGGCTCCCAAGTCTCAGTGCGTCCTGAGCTCAGGGGAGCTATGGCCTCAGGCCCCAGCCAAGTGGCACCTGAAGACTCCATTGCCAGAGCTCTCCTATTGACTGAGTGCCAAGATGTGAGCTAGGATTCCAGATTTTTCTCCCTGCTGAATGCTGTTAGGTTTCACTTATCACATATTCCTCTTCTGCCTCTTTCCAAAAACAATCTGAGCTGGCTTCTGGTATGTTTGACCCTCAGCAGGGCAATAGTTCTTCTCCCCTGCAGGGCACAGCTCATCACATTAGGGTCCCAGGCCTTGGGGGCTAATGTCCCGACTCCTAGCCTGGCCCACGAAGCTCTCCCTGACCTGGGCTCTGCCTCCTTCCCCACCAGCTGTCATTGTCTCTCTCCTCCACTCCATGCTAAAGCCACGCAGACTGACTTGCAGTCCCTTGCTCTTGCTCACCTCCCAGCCCCGACCCCCACATGCCTCCTCCCCTTGGACTGCTGGCTTCCCCAACCACAAGCCAGGAATCTAGCTTCTCCTTCAGCTCATACATCCCCTCCTCCAGGAATCCCTTCCTGGGCTAGCTGCCTCTTCTGTGTATTTTCACAGCCCTGGGGAGCTTTGGAGTCCCTGTGTGGAGCAAATTGTTAAGTGCTCCACTACTAACTGAAAGTTTGGTGGTTCAAACCCACCCAGAGGCACCTTGGAAGAAAGGCCTCGCTATCTGCTTCTGAAAGGTGACAGCCATGAAAATTGTATTCCACTCTGCAACACATGGGGTCACCATGAGTTGGAACCGACTCTACAGCAACTGGTTTAGTTGGGTTTTGGTTTTATACCTTGCATGATAATCATCTGTTTGTTAATCTGTCCCTCTCAATACACATTAATCTCTTTGGTGGCAGGGGTCATGCCATGTGCAATTTACCTTGGCATGCCAGATGTCTGGTACACAGTAGGTGCCAAGTAAATGTTGAATGAATGAATGAATGATGGCAACTCAAGGACATTTTGCCATTAACTTTTAGGAATGGGCTCTGGATCCTTGTGGGGATGGAAGATGACCAGATGGTCATATTAAAAAAAAGTCAAGTCTAGGATCAGAATCAAGATGTTTATATTTCAAACATAAACACGACACACATGACCACACACACCCATGGACACACACACGCATATATACATGGGTACACTCATGTACACACACAGCCTTCTCTCAATGCTCTGGGTCTAGGAGACCCCTACAACCCTGCCATCCTGCAGGCAGCCTCTCCATCTCCACACTGTCCCAGCCAGAGGTCTTCTGAAGCTCTTGGAACAAGAGCTGTTGCTGGAGGCTCCTCAGGTTCTCCAGGTCCTCAGGAGAGAGCTGCTCGGCAGACTTCCCCTGGTCCTGCTCTTCTTCCTCTTCCTCCATTTCTGTAAGCCCATCGGGGGGCTGCGGGGAGCTCCTGGAGATATAGCCCTGGTCGGACTGTACCGACTGCCTCTGCTTCTCCTCGTAGGGTGTGTGGGGGTCTTTGACGACCTCCTGGGTCTGGCCACTCAGACTCTGCTGGAAGAGCGAGAACATCAAGCCTTCAAGCTGCTCCCTTACGTCATCTGGGAGGTGGTCGGGCGAAACCACTGGGGTGCTGCCAAGAGGTGAGGCCTCTGGATCCACAGGGAGGAAGAGGACATTGTTCCGCTGTGGGCCAGGGGCCTCCAACAGCGGGCAGGCCTCTCTTTCCTCCACCACGGCCAGTCGGCTAGCTGTGCCGCTCCCATCAGCAAGAGGCATGGGTTGCACTGCTTGTGTTGGAAGGACCTTCTCCACAGGGAGCACCACAGTTTGGAGGGTCTGAGCTGCCAGTTCCCCCTGGAGCTGCAGCTGAGGTTCCAGCCTTGAGACTCCTCCTTCTTCCTTGCCAACGAGCAGATCTACCACCTGACAGCCCTCAGAGGCAGGCTCCTGCACCAGGGGCTTCTGCTTCACGATCCCTCTTCCTGACGGCAGCAGCGGCTCCTCAAACACCTCTTCATCAAGGGATGGCAGGTCCTGGTTATCTGCCGAGCAAAGGTTCTCGCGCTCAAACCAGTCAGAGCACTGTCTCTGATGCTCCCGGAACCGCTCCAGGGCTTTCTTGAGCTGCCAGCCGCTGGGGCTCTGCAGATAGTTTTCCCCTGTGAGCTCCCCAACGCGGTGCATCCGGCCAGGTTCAAACATCTCCAGGTCCTGGATGCGGAAGTAAACCTCCTCAAATTTGTCCATGAGCGGGTACCTGGAAGTGATGTTGAAGAGGTCGGGGATATCACCCTCATTGCTGATGTCACTGAAGTAGCAGATGATATAGGTGCCAAAGCAGGCTGGCTTCTTGAAGTCTGGTAGGATCATGTTCATGGCCGCCGTGAAAAGGTCCCCCGCAGGCTTGCAGCATTCACACCGCAGCTGGATGACGGGCTCCTCCCAGCCAAGGATGGCCTGCCACTTGGCCCTCGTGCCTCGGGAGCACAGGATGATGATCTTGGAGTTGCTCTCCACCATTTCCTGCTTCTGGCGGCCCACCCAGGTCATGACCCCCACCTCAGAGATGACCTGTTCCTCCAGCAGGTCGAGGGCCACCTCGGTGCCACAGACGGTGAGCAGGAACTGGGCGAACTTTAGGACCACATCCACATAGAGGGGATGATCGGCTGAGTAGACAATCCAGACCTTCCTCGGCCTCAAGGGTGGTGGAGTCAGGTCGGCCGTGGACAGGACATCTGAGGGGAACAAGGGAAGCCAAGACCACAGGTTCAGGTGTGTGTCCCTGCTGATCTCCACACCATGGGCCGGGGTGGGGGGGGCCCTGCTGGCCAGCTCACGAGGGGCCTGGACCACAGGAATGCAGAGCTTGGCTCCCTAGCCTAAGGAACACAACCGAGGCCTTTTGGGATAAGCCAAATGTTGCCATTTCACTGTTTTGGCTGCCTAAAAAATTATTGTCTGGCGTCTTCTGGGAAAAAGAATCTCTCTCTCACATTCTCATCTGGTCTTTAGCCTATACTTTAATAATGTTAATTAAAAAAAAAAAAAGGCACAAAGCGCTGCTTATGGAATAGCTGTATCTGCTGTATGGAGGACCTTGTTTTCCAAAAATATGGTGCACTTATCATCCTTTAAGGAGCCCTGGAGACACAACAGTTAAGTGCTTGGCTGCTTACTGAAAGGCTGGCAGTTTGAAGCCACCAGCAGCTCCGTGGGAGGAAAGACCTGACGATCCGCTCCCATAAAGATCACAGCCTTGGAAACCCTATAGGGCAATTCTACTCTGTCCTATAGGGTCACTATGAGTCAGAAATGACTAGATGGCACAAAACAATAACATCGCTTCCTTTCCTTGTCTAGGTGATTAAAGAAGTTAACCCAGTCCTGACTATTTGTGATGCCCTGAAACCCCTCTGTGTGGGGTGTTAGAAGGAGGCTCCTCTAAAGGAGAAGTCCCTGGAAGGATGTAGGAGTCAAACCTCAGAGTGTGATCCACTCGATTATCCCAAAAGAACCCTCCCTCCACTATTCCCTTAAAAACCAACACACACACAAAAGCCAGCCCACCCAAACCAAAGAAATACTTACCAGTGTATTTGGTGTTATTACCACATTTTTCATGATGAGACCCTGAAAGGAAAAGAAATACATAGAAGTGACTCTTTTGAAAGAGAAGTAGGGACCCAGCTCACAGGGATGGGGGTTGTTTAATGAGGGCACTACCCTACCCCTGACAAAGGGCACATGATTAAGGGATGCTTCTGGACCTTCATTGGGAGACCGTGCTGTGTAGTGGTTCAGGGACCCCAGTGCGAATCTTGGTTCTGTTACCTCTAGCGGTGTGATCTGGGAAAGTTACTATCTCTACAACTCAGTTTCTTCCTCTATAAAATGGGTTTGTGAGGGGGATGAAATGAGATTGTGTGTGTTGTACATGATCAATCATGGGGGTTACAGTTATTATTCTGTAGAACTGACCCTAGTGGGACTGGCCAGATTTTGACTGGGGATTCCTCCCTGGTCACCATTACAGGGCTGGCCCCTCACCTCTCCACAGTTTGGCCACCCTCCCCTGCCCACAGCAGACCCTCCACTTGAGGAAAAGCCTTTCCCCAGAAGTGTCTGCAGGAGACATAAATCTTACAACACTGATCTCCAGAAGTAGCCCCTGCCAGGCCCACTTACAACATTTCCTCCTGGTTATTTTTGAGGTGAGGAAGGGAAACCAACATATTAAGCAATTGTTTGCCTCAGAGATGTAATGAAATAGACCACAGTGCAGGAGGTAACTACTTACTCAGAGACACAGCGTCCTGAACAAAATCTGCTGATGCCCAAGTAAGATATTTAGAACCTTACATTTAATCCCCACCCTTTGGGCCTTTTTCCAGAATTGTGAAAAGACACTCATATAACTACTGAAGTTTCTTTCTTGTCCTTTCATTCACCCTGTGGTGCGGAGTACTTCAGGAAAGGGTGTAACAGCAGAAATGAAACAAAAAGCCTCTCTGACATCTGTGGAAAACTTTTCAGCTTGTAAAGCACTGGCAGACATTATCTTACTTGACCCTCCGGACAATCTTCCGGAGAAGGTCCAAACCTAGGTCTTCTCACGCCTGGTTTGGTGTTCTTTTCCATCACACAATAGTCATTAATTAACCAGTTGCTCAGTACCTAGTCGTGATGAGCCTATCATTTGGTAAGTGTGGAGACAGCATCTCAGATAAAAGAAGAAACAGCCCAAGGTCATGAAGGGGACAGGGAAAGCCAATACCTCTAACGGAAGACACATGTTCTCCCCCGCTTAGAACTCGGCCAGCAGAAGGATCTAGGAGGGGAGGAACTGATATTGATTAATACCCACCAACAAGCACTTTTTTTGGCTCATTTAATTCTCACCACATCCCTGACAGGGAGGCATTAGCACCCCATTTTACAGAAGACAAAACTGAACCTGATGTTTGGTAAGTCACGTGTGTATGACTGCAAAGCTGTCATAGTGGGATCCACAGCCATGTGCTCAGAGTCTAGAGCCTGAGCCTTGTCTTACTTCTCTCCCTGAGTACAAGTCTGGGGGCTGCAGGATGGGGTTGTTCAGGCTGCTCTTTCATCCCCCTCACAAACCCCTTTTCCAGAGGAAGAAGCTGAGTTTTAGAGACGCAGTAACTTGCCCAGATCCCGCAGCTAGCAGTGACAGAACCAGGATTCGGTCATTTAGAAAATGGCAAAAAGTGAAAGTTCCTCTTCCATGTCCATCCCTCCCTTAGGCACTCCAATTTCCTAGAGGTGACCACTGTTAACAATGTGCTGAATATTTTTCCAGCCAGACTTTCTTGTAAACATAAGCAATAATTTAAAAATACGTAGTCGTGGTCATGTTATTATGTTATACAAACTTTTCTACTGCATCCTTTTTCCTTTTATTATCTTGGACAGCTTTCTAATTGAGATCTACCCTGTTTCACTGATTCTAAGATACACTTTTCCCTGCCACATTTTAAGATCTGTAAAATTGGAATGCTTCTTATAATCAGTGGTATCTTAAAACTGTTGTCTTGCTGATCATTTCCGATGCAAGGAAACTCTACTCTAGCTCCTTTAATCTGTTGATTTTACTAATATTAATTATAATTACAGTAGATATAATCGTGGCTAACAGATATTGAGCAAACATGATGTGCCAGGCTGTGTAATCTGGGAAATAAGAATTCACATGCATTACGTCATCAAATCCTTACGACAGTTTTACGCAGAGGTGGATACCCAGGAAGCAAGGTAAGCATGGGCTTACTTGTGCTTACGTGCTAATCTGTCGCGACCAACTTCATATGGGTTTCACAAATGAAGTAACTCCACTTAGGTGGAGCTAGTATTTGAGCCCTGATGTGTCTGACTCCTGGTTCAGAGTTCTTGACAACTGAACTCAAGGTGGCACAAGAAAGGTGACATCTACACTTGAGACTGAAGGGCTGTGAGTGAAGGTGCCCTCTGACCACAGCCTTCCAGAGAAGGTCCAGCTATAGGAGTGGAGTGAAAAGAAGGGGAAGGGAGGCCAGAGGAAGAAAGAGAGGAGCAGAGGAGAAAGCCCCAGGACCCAGCCTCCCATGCCTCTGCTCCTTACCAGGCAGCCTCCAAGTCATGCAGACGACGAACAGGATGACAGAGCTCACCAGCAGGATGGCGACACCCGTGATGACCCCGTACACCCACAGGGGCATGTAGTCTGTATGAGCAGAACAGTGTGAGAATCATGGCAGGGCAGTCCTGATACTTCAGCCTCACAGTTGCCCAGCCCTGCTCCCCAGTCCTGGGCTCTGTCCTCTCCAGCTTGCGCCATAAGACACTGATGCTCTCATCCACTGGACTGGTTAATTTTATGTGTCAACTTGGCTAGACCATGGTTCCCAGTGGTTTTGCCAAACACTAGACTAGTTGCTGTTCCGTAATGTAATCTAATGCAATGTAATGTAATTACCTTCCATAATGTAATCTAGTGTAATATAATCAATCAGTCAGTTGAAAGGGGAGTTCCTTACACTGTGGTCTGCCTTCAGAACATAAATAGATTATTTTGGCAGACCTTGCTGTCTCTCTCAACTCTGTACTCTTCCCCGTCGCCTGTCCTATGGATCTTGGGATGTGAGCCTGCAGAAGTCTCAGCCTCCTGCCTGACCTAGAGATTTCAGACTTACCAGCCCCCTACAATCCTGTGAGCCAGCAGATGTCTGCAGCCTGTCACCTAACCTATGGATTTTGGGCTTTTCAGCTCCCACAATTGAGTGAGCCAATCCTTTGAAGTAAATCTCTCTTTCTCTGTCTCTCTCTGTATGTTTCTCTAGAGAATAGGACACCCACTCTTGGACTGGCCTCTCAGTTCAGTCTTGTGTGCCCGGCTCCTTGCAAAGTCCAGTGAGGGACTCCTTGTGTGGCCCCTGTGGACTGTTCCCCAAGGGCTCCTGCAGCACTATGGGAAGGAGGTCTGGGCTTACCTGTAATCACACCTGTAATGAGAACAAAGGGGAAAATATTCTTAATTATTCGTAGTCATCACGAAAACTATCCCTCACATTCACTGAGAACCTGCTTGTGCCCTTGGCCCTGCACCAAGCACTTGAGATATGGGTTAAAGTTAATGAAATCAGCCACAGGAAGCACCTTATACGATGTCACTGTAAAGCCCCATACTATACCTCAGCCCTAAATAACTCCAAGTTAAATTAAACTCTCCTTCACCCTTAGAACCAGGTCAGGATTCAGCCTAAGCTGTTGACCTTCATACAACCTCATCTCCAAATATGTCCCAGGACAGCCATGCTCCTCCTACCTGGAAGAGCTAGAACTTCTGGGCAGCTAATGTTCATAGTGTGCCTGATGCAGTCATTCTGACAGCTGCTGAAGAAAGGCTGGATCTGCGAGAGCAGAAAGAGTACAGAAAAGAGTGACCTGAGATGCTGGGGGGAAACGGGGCTCCCCACCCAATGCTTTCCTGCCCGCAGAGGCTACTAGAAGGTAATAGACCCCGGGTGGCTACTCCACAATCTCCATATAGCTGTTAGGTCCAATCTCCCATCTGGGAGGGGAGGTCATAGGACCCCTGCCCAGGTGAGGCTGGGAGCATGGGGCTGGAGAAAGCTGAGATGGTATCTCGCCAGGCATGGCTATCAGACAGTGCAGCGCTGGGTCCTTGGAGAGGGCACAAGTCCGGGAACCGCCCTCCTGCCCTCCCTTGTCCATCTGGCAGGAATGCCCATGGGTCCACACACTTCCACGCCTGTCTGCACCACACGCACTCACCTTCACTCGATGGCGGCAGCACCAGTCATAGTTGCTTAGAGGAAGTGTGACATTGCACCGCTGGTGGAAATTTTCCTGTCTAGGCTTAAAAGAGAGGACAGGACGTAAGGTTAGTTGGGTAAGAACTTAGGAGAGTAGTGCTGTCTAGTGCTCCTTTTATGAAGGCCAAAGGCAGAAACACTTTTCAAGTCTCTGTTCTGGGAAAAAAACACATTTTTCCAGGATAACTGGTTGGTTATTCACTCATGTACACATCTCGTAACAAGTATTTCACTCTTTGCTTTGGCTACTAGGAATCATAGAGCTAAATCTGTGTTCACACCAGCAGCTGTGTGGAATGGGACGGCATGCATTTTCTACACTAATCACATTCCTGGTTTCATCTTATTTCCTTATCTTTATTTTCCCCTTGTCTTGATTTTCACATTTATCTTTTAATCCTCAAATCCTTTTGGGGGACAAAGTAGAATAAACAAAGCAAAGCCAGAAGAGAACAGGGGAAAGCGTGGGGAGGAGAGAACACAAAGGGTTAGGGGTGGGCAGGGCAGGGCATAAAGTGGAGGATCTATCAACCATAGATGAAAAGAAAAGAAAAAGGGCCAAGTGGCCCAAGATGAGTATTGACTAAGACAGTGCTGTGTATTTCTGGTAACACAGTTCTGTCAGGACCAGTAGAGAGGAGACTTGAAGCTTGGAGAGGTGGTTTTGAGCTATGTGCGAGGGATCAAAAAAGGGGCAAGAAGTTACCACGGGAATACGCTCTCTGTGCTCAAAGCAGGTGAGGGTCTCCGTGTCTGGAAAACTGTCCAGCAGGATCTGATAGTCGGTGGATTCATTCCATAGGGTGAAGCTCACCAGCAGCTGGTGGTTCTCTAGTTTCTCCACCGTGATATTGGGATTCCACAGGCTGCCTGACGAGGGCACAGACACAGAGTGGGAGTGAGGATGTGTGTGTGTGCTCACAAGTAAAGCTGGGCTTGTTTATGTGCATGTGTGTGTCTGTGCTTGCACATAAAGTTGGGTGGATGGTGTACGTGTGTGTGTAACTGTGTTCCCAAGTAAAGCTGGGCGTGTGTTTGTGTCTGTGCTCCTAAGTAAAGTACTCCTCATTACTCGAGCAGGGCTGGCAGCTGCTGTTACCTAAGCTCACACATGGGATGGTTGTCTTCATCCTGGGGTCCTCGCAGCCTGCCAAACCAGAAAAAAGAGACACCATTAAGCCTCTGCCTGGGCAGTTGAGTCTTCCAGACTCCCAACACCAGGGACAACAAACTTTTTCCTTTTGGGGAGGCCCGTTCAAAGATAACCCATTCAAAGCAAGTCCCAGGGCTGGATTGCTGCCAGTGGCCAGAGGCCCCCACAGAAGCGGTGGCTGATCTGGTTCTCTTCAGGATGAGCCCAGAGAGGCCTGGCCTCATTCCTCCTCTCTCAGGGAACCTTCCAGATTCAAGTGTATTCCTCCTGAGCTTGCTGTGGGTGACAAAAGATTCTTGGTCCACACTAGTCCCTTCTCTCCCCACCTGCAGCTATCATCAGTAGTTCCTGATTCAGAAGGTCTGGGCTGGGCCCTGAGAACTTGCATCTCTAACAAGTTCCAGGTAATCTGTTGATGTTGCTGGTCCAGGGTACACACTGAGGATCAATGCTTCATGGTTATCTTCTTGTTCCTCCTTCCCCAATCTCCTCAACTGCAATGTTATTACTCCGGTTTAAGAAGGTTTACCACCATCATCCTCAACGAGCATTTCCCGAGCACCTTCTATATGCAAGGCAATCTGTTAGGTTCTGGGGAGTACACACACAGGTGTAAGCCCTGGACCTGTCCTCAAGCAGCTGGGGCTCCAGATGTAGCTGGCTTTGAACGATGGGAAATGTTGTAGGTTATGGGCAAGCACTGGGACTCAGGAGAGGTCAGAGACATTGAAGGTGCACACACATGAAGTGATAAACCTGGCCATATTCATTGGCAGGATGGAGTAGTGGGGGAAGGGGAGATGGTGTCATACTTGGGGTGGGTGTTAGAGAAATGCAGGTAGGATTTGAGGCCAAAAGTTAAGAGCAAGGTGACAGAGGCCATGACTAGGCTGGGAGCAGGGGTTATAACTCTCCCAAGAATAGCTTGTCTTCCTGATATTTTCTGTGCATGAAGCAGAGGGAGGGACTCTCTGGGACCCATAAAACTCCTGGGGTCTTGGGCCAATATGCACTGTTTGGGCCAACAGGGAATGCTCTCTGCTTTCAAGACGCAGAGGTGCCAATCACGCACCAAGAGCTCTCGGTGCCTAGTGTGTGTGTGTCCTGCGGGCACCACATGCTGACAAGGGCAGCCATTGTCTAGCTGAGCAGGGAGGCTTCTCACAGAGCTAAGTGGTGAAGGGGATGGCTTGAGAGTAGGCTTTCTTACCAGGCACAGAGAAGTTGCTGGACTGGTGGTTTGGGTCCCCATAGGGGTAGGGCTTGGGCAGGTGGTGAACGATCACCTCGTACTTCTCACCAGGTTCCACCTGAAAGTGGCTGAAGGTAAAACGCCACTGAAGAGAAGGGAAGAAGGGGAGGTTGGACAGGTCACGCACGTGTCTCTCATCCGTCAGTGCCTCAAGAACCCCATCCCCACCTGCCCCCCCAAATCAGTCAAAAATAAGAATAAAACAACAACAAAATGTGTCTGTTCTTTGTTTCCTCTTGTCTTTCAGCCCTAGATTTTAAAAGCTAGATCTGGCCTCATCAGTAGATAGTAGTGTCATATGCAAAAGAATCTGGGAAGAGCTGAAATAGTGCCCCCACCCCAATCTGCTCTCTCAAGCTCCAGAACAATGAGTCCGAGGGAGCTGCAGCCAGAGGACCTTGGGGTTATCAGAAGACCCAGCACACAAAAGTAGTTAAAAACTATTTGTGAAAAAGACTCTTCCTCCTTAAATGGGAAAGCCAGGGACCTCTTGAGAATGTTCTGGAGCAGAAAAGCAGAGGGGTGGGGCTATCAAGAAACCCGCTCACCCTTGGCCTACAGGCACTTTTATTACAGAGATAAAGAGAATTTTTGCTGTTACTCTCAGGATGGTGAAGATCACAGATGTTGACTCCAACTCCTATTTTAATTACCCTGGCTGAGGGGGCAGGTTGCTTTGCTTCTAAGTAGATCTGGGCACCTGGTCCTCACCATCAACAGTGCAATCAAGTTTTGGGGTCCTAATTAAACACAGGAAAGGGGATCATCTCTCTCTCTGCTGCCTGTGTTCCTGGGAGATCTGCAAATGGCCACTTGTTCTATATCAGTGGTTCTCAGAGTCACTTGGAGGGCCTGTGAAATGCCAGTTGCTGAGCCCCACCCCCAGAGTTTCTGGTTTAGTAGCTCTGAGGGGGCCCCAAGAATTTGCATTTCTAGAAAGTTGGGGGTGGATACTGACGCTGCTGGTCCTGGGACCACACTTTGAGAACCACCGCTTTAAGCAAAATGAAAGAGAATTCGGTGTTTTACCATCTGGCTGTGAGCAGCAAATTGAGATTAAACTGTTGAAGTACTCTTTTGCTCGTGCCCCACCCACAGCAGTTCTTCGGTCTGGACAAAATTTTTCCATCCTGGAGGCAAGCTCCAGTTGAATCCAAGTTACAAATAAAGATGGCAAGAGGTAGGACTGAGGAAGTCTTCTGATTTAACTTTCTTTCAAGAATGGTTAGGTAAGGCTAGAAGAACAAGCAGGGCTGCGAGAATGCCAGGGAATTTGTAGAAAACATCCTCAAACTGCTCACAGCAGATACCTCCCTTCCCCCTGGAGGCAGCTGTTTTGAATTCCTCAGACTCACAGCACCTCTGGTCTTCACTGCTCTAAATTAGGGCCCAAGTTTGGGGACAAGAAGGCTGCGCTGGTGTCTTCAGAGGAGCACGGTCTATTCAGGAACTGGATTCTTACCCGCTTGAGATGATGCTCCAATATGGAGAGGAACTCAAACTTGACACACAGACGCTCATTGGTGTCCTGCTGCAGGACAGATAACTCTGCGCCCCTAAGGTAGAGGATGCTGGCTGAAGGTCAGAGGGAGGTGAGGAGACAAACAGATGGAAATCAGCTAAGACAAACTGCCAGGCGTGACACTTCCCTGCTGGTTATGCTCGCTCACAATTATAAGAAAATTTGCCCGTCTTAACTAATTCTCCACTTCCTGTTCCTTTTGGCTCACTCTTGGGCCTCAGACCACTGCCTCATAGTTACTTCCCAGCTGGACAAGGACAAGGGATACTTTACACTGGGCTGGAAGCATAGGCTTTATATCTTTATGGCTAGAGGGTCAGCAATATGGCATGGGTGTCAAAGACGGTCACCCCCACCATCCAAGGCGAGGTTGCGGTTGTCAGTGGTGAGTATTCAGGCTGGCGACTTACAAACTGAACTTCCCCATGCCCTGTTCACAAACCTCGGGCTGGCTCTCATTAACCCCAATGTCTTTACAAATCTGTAATAAAACTCTCTACCACTGAAGAGGTTTGGGGGATGTTGTTTTAAAAAGTGCCAGCCCCCAAATTAAGGTAACAAGCAGGTTGGCAAATGTGTTACCATTTTTCCAGCAAATATTTGGTATTGTGCCACAAACGGTTAACTCTGGGCAATTAATCCAAAGGTTGGCAGTTCGAACCTACCCAGAAGCTCCTTGGAAGAAAGGCTTCCGAAAGGTGCCAGCCATGAAACTCTTATGGTACACAGTTCTACTCTGACACACATGGGGTCATCATGAGTTGGAATCAACTCGCCAGCAGCTGGGTTTTTTTGGATGTTGTTATTGTAGTCATACAATGGACTGCTTGGTTTTTTTTTCCAGGACGATTAAAGATTTTGGGCTGAGGGAAGGCCTTTCATCAAGGATGGTGGGATGAGAAGATATCATTGTGGGTTAATGTTTAAAACGCTTAAGAAGTATTAACTGCATTAAAAGGAACCCTGGTGGCCCAACAGTCAAGTGTTTGGCTGCTAACTGAAAGGTTGGCGGTTCAAACCCATCCAGCAGCTCCACCGGAGAAACACCTGGCAATCTGCTTCTGTAAAGATTACAGCCAAGAAAACCCTATGGGGCAGTTCTACCGTGTCACATGGGTCACTATGAGAAGTCGACTCGACAGCATACAACAACAACTGTATTAAATAACTGATCCTTTCAGCACTAAAGCTGGGCCCTCATGTCTGGGCCCAGGGCTGAAAGCCCAATTCTGAGTAGGTGCAGGCTGGATTCATTGGAGATGGGTAGAAGTCCCCCAGGCCCCACTGACATCCCACTCACCATCTGTTTGCAAAGTCCATTCGATGTGAACCACAGGGACTAGGCCTCCATCCTGAGTGTGGACAAACCACAGCTGGGTTTGGACATTTTTCGGGGATGAAGGGGTCAGGTTTTGAGGGCTGATCCAGCTGTCGTCCAGGCAGGTACCTGGCAGTCAGGGAAAAGCTGCAATCAGAGAGACTGTAGCCGAGCCCCTGAGATGCCCCACTTAGATCTTAAATAGCTCAGGGGCTTGCGGCCTTCTCTCTTGTGACCCTCAGCTGGATCTTCTGACTCACTGTCCTCCCCGTTTTTTCTCATGCCTGGCTGGTGGTCACTGCAAAGCTTGAACTCTACAGGGTATTTTAGGAGAGAAGATGAAGCAGATAACCTGGTTTTGAGACAAAGCAGTGGTTGGAGATGGGGGCACAGGAGGGATGGGGTAGTCATAAGAGTTGCTTTATTTTTATATTTCAGGGGTCCTTAATTGGTGACCACAGACACAAATTTGAAGTCATTGCCTCCTTCTTGAATTAAAACACAAAACAAAAACACCACCACAGATGTCTCTCGCTTTACAGTGACAAGCTGTGGCAAATCAAATTGCATTCGAGATTTACTAGGGCAGTACCCCAGAGAATACTTTCACAATCCAAATGACAATTCAGTTTCTTATTTCCTGACATCTGCATCCCAAATATTCTTGCTAGGAAGCCCAGGTGCATACATCCCAGACCCCCAAGGGTGCCTCCTGCTGACGGTTATAACCCACATCCTCACCCTGAGGTGGCAGGCAGAGCTTCTGTCAGACATCAGCAGGAGGTGATCGTTTTATTAAGAAAGTAACAACAACCAGAACAAAAAAGGGTGACTTACTATTCCTGACTCTGCAGTTCAGCCCCTGTGGAAAAAAAGAAGGTAATTACAGGTCCAAAAGAACCTTAATTCACAAGCAAGGCCCTAGAGGCTTTCCCTGGCTCATTTGCAAGAATTAAACAGCCCTCCCTTCTTGCTTTTGGGGGCCATTCTTAGGGGCAGCCATTTTCCACTGGCCCTGTTCTCATTCTGCACAAGTGAGGAGAAATAGGATGAGACGTGCGCAGAGTGGATGGTGGAACGGAGCTGGCACTTTATGGCCAACTGTATGGGCTGGGAGCTTTACAACTTTAAAAGATACTGCAATGGTTCTCTTGGTACCTCAGTAAAAAGTCCCTCACACTAAATCTCTGGAGGTTTCCAAATCTTGGGTTTGGGATAACAGTGTTGCAAGAGGTGGGGAGGGGTGAGGAACAAAAATGACAGCCCCTGTTACAGCTTCAGCTATAGAAAATTCACAAAGCCCCCACAAACTCCCCAGGGAAAATGTGTCAGACTCTGACCTGGGTGATTTACTATACATATTACGTCACTTAATCCTCCTAACACACTTACGATTGAGTGTTATCCTTAGCCTTATTTTACAGACGAGGAAACTGAAGCACAAATACTATATTATATATATTACATTACTCCCACTTTTGAAATATGTGTTAATTTTTGAACCCAGAGGAGATCTGGAGGGCCAAATTTAGAAGCCCCAATCTCAGACATGATTAGAGAAATGTAATCACTGGACTTAAATTTTGCCAGCTACTTTGGAACATACACACACCCCTCAAAACCTGTGGTTGAGTTGTCTTACCACCCACCACTTAACCAGGTAAGTGACTTTAGGCAAGATATCTAACAACGCCTGTTACTGTGTGCCACTGAGTCGATTTTTGACTCACAGTGACCCGACGTGACACAGTAGAACTGCCCCATAAGGCTTTCTAACCTGTAATCTTTACAAGAGCAGACAGATGACCAGGTCTTTCTCCTATGGAGCCACTGGATAGATTCAAACCGCCAACCTTTTAGCAGCGGAGCACTTAATCATTACGCCTCCAGGGCTCCTACCACTGGCTAGCCTCAATTTATTCAACTGTAAAATCAGGATAATCATAATGCCAACTTCATAGTGTTGTTGAGAATTAAATGATAAAATATAAATAAAGATCTTGGGGCAAGAGGTGGGCTGGTGGTGAGATGGTGTGTTTGCGCATGCTGTGTTTGTGTGTGTGTGTCTGTGTGTGTAGGGAGCGTTTTACTTTTCACCTCTAACATATCTGTGTTGTAAAAAACTTCAAACAATGCAAATATATTCATGTATTAGTTATGCAATCAAATGAAATAATACAGTGTTCCAGCACTGTTAAACAGGCAGCACACTAGAAACCCTAAGAGACTTATTATGAGGAACTTTGTTGGCTGCAGTACCCACAGAACCCTTTCATTGTCTGTTAAATGAGACAATGTTTGTCCGGTGTCTGGTACGTAACAGTGGCTCGTTAATTATGGCTCCCATTCTTTAGAGCTTGGCACACAGTGAGTGTTCAACACATGGAAGCTATTATATAAGGAGCCTTGGTGGCACAGTGGTTAAGTGTTCAGCTGCTAATCAAAAGGTCAGCAGTTTTGAACCTACCAGCAGTTTTGAACCTACCAGCAGTTTTCAACCTACAGTCTGCTCCCGTACAGATTTCAGCCTTGGAAACCCTATGGGGCAGTTCTACTCTGTCGTATAGGGTCACTATGAGCTGGAATCGACTCAATGGTAAATGAGCTTGGTTTTATAATATGGTTTAGTATGGAGACCTGCTGGCGCAACGGTTAAAAGCTGAGCTGCTAACCAAAAGGTCGGCAGTAAGAATCCACCAGGCACTCCTTGGAAACCCTATGGGAACTGGAATCGACTCGACAGCAACAGGTTTGGGTTTTTGTTATACTATCCTATGTTGTTGTTAGGGTTACTGTTCTGTGCCGTCAAGTCGGTTCCGACTCATAGCAACCCTAAAGGACAGAGCAGAACTGCCCCATAGGGTTTCCAGGAGCACCTGGTGGATTCGAACTGCCGACCTTTTGGTTAGCAGCCGTAGTTCTCAACCACTGTGCCACCAGGGTTTCCGTAGTGAGTGGGGTGTGGCGTAGTGTTGCATCCTGTAGGTAACCTCGGCACATTCAGATTGGGCATGGGAACGAGGGAAGCGCCTAGGCAGAACTCAGGCTCAGGCGCTTCCAGTTATCGTAACAGGCAAAATGGACCAAACACATCCTGTAGCGCAGAAAGTCGGAGGGGGAAGCGGACCAGGAACACAATTTTAAGAACAAGAGCGTGATTTGGCGTATATGTGTAAAGCCGGAAACAGGGGTTTGCACCTTCCTGTGGACTTTTTTAGCGGCACTCTTCCCTTCCCCCCTTACTCAGCTTCGGCTCTCCCCGCCCGTCTCTCAGAAGGGAGCTGGGGTGGGGAGGGGGGCGGTTAAGCAACAGGAGGGAGAAAACACTGTGCCACCGTGGTTCATTCACCAAGTGGACGAGCAGATAATGTACTTGAAGACGCTCCGGGATTGACTCTGAGCATGCCATTTTATCTGTAGCCTTCCTCTCTGAGGTCCAGTTCATCAGGCCTTGGGGGTCCAGCTGAGCTGCCTCTTGCATCCTCTACAGCTGCTGGTGATTAATTCCCACCCACTGTCCCAGGGCCAGCATCACAGCCCTGCCAGGAGTTCCTCAGATGTTCAGTGACAAAATTCATCTCCGGCCTCTGCTCCCTCTAATAAATGTCACTCTCCAATTCCTAAAGGAGAGGAGACTAACTTCCCAAACCCTCTCATTTCTCCTCCCTCTTGAAACTCCTAGGACTGTGGCATGGAGGATAAGAAACTGTTTTTTTCACTTTGAGATGGGGAGCTCTTCTAGAAAAGGCAAACAGAGACTCCAGTTTGGGTAACTCCCACTGGTAAAACCAAAACCAAACCAGTTGCCGTCAAGTCAGTTCTGTCTCATGGAGGCTCCACGTGTGTCAGAGTAGAACTGTGCTCCATAAGATTTTTAATGGCTAATTTTTCAGAAGTAGATTGCCAGACCTTTCTTCCAACATACCTCTGGTGGACTCAAACTGTAGCTACTCAGAAAACATTGCAAAATGATGGCCATGATGAAAGACTTTTGCCTTCATGTTGACCAAGAGGAAGTTGAAAGGATTTGAAAACACAGTCAATTGGCTAACAATGGTGCTGGAGGATATCTTCCTCTAATTCCTGTGATTAATGAAAACAGCTTCAGTATGTCACCATTTAGTACTTGTCATCGACTGAATTGTGTCCCCAAAAAATATCTGTCAACTTGGCTGGGTCATGATTCCCAGTATTGTATGATTATGTACCACTTTGTAATCTGATGTGATTTCCTTATGTGTTGTAAACTCTATCACTATGATGTAATAAAATAGATTAGCAGCAGTTATACTGGTGAGGTCTACAAGATTAGATAGTGTCTTAAGCCAATCTCTTTTGAGATATGAAAGAGAGAAGCGAGCAGAGACACAGGGAACCTCATAACACCAAAAAGCAGTACCAGGAGCAGAGTGTGTCCTTTGGAGCTGAGGTTCCTGCACTGAGATGCTCCTAGACCAAGGGAAGACTGATACATCACAAGGAGCTTCCTCCAGAGCTGACAGAGAAAGAAAGCCTTCTCCTGGAGCTGATGCCCTGAATTTGGACATGTAGCCTACTGGACTGTCAGAGAATAAACTTCTCTTTGTTAAAGCCATCCACTTGTGGCATTTCTGTTATAGCAGCACTAGATGACTAAGACAGTACTGTTTTTGGTGTTGGTTTTTAATTGTCATTATTGTAGGTATTTTCCTTCTATTACTATTTTGCTTATAATTCTTATTAAAAACAGGTCTGAACCTTATCAAATACCTCTCCAGCATTTATTAACATAACTTTGGAGGCTTTCTCCTCTAATTTATTGATGTAATAAATTATTTTGATAGATTTGCTAATAATGGACAAACAATAAATCCTACTTAGTTACGGTTCACTTTTCTTTTGATATTCTACTAGATTAAACTTGCGAATATTTTATTTAGAATCATTTGTATTTATATTCACAAATGAGATTGGTCTATAGTTTTTTTTTGCAAGACCTGTGAAACTTTGGAATTAAGCTATGCTAGCTTTAAAATATGGGCAGCTTTCTCTCTTTTTCTGTGTTACTGAATGTCCATCAGTAGGGAATGGCTGAGTAAAATGTGATCTAGTTTAAATCTAAATATCCATCAAAACTGAAATAGTTGACTAGATTACTGACTACCATGAATATTATGTGGAGCCCTGGTGGTTCAGTGGTTAAGAGCTCAGCTGCTAACCAAAAGGTCTGCAGTTCGAATCCACCAGCCGCTCCTTGGAAACCCTATGGGGCAGTTCTACTCTGTCCTGTAGGGTCACTATGAGTCAGGACTGGCTCAATGGCACCCAACAACAACAACAACAACAACAAGAAAATTATGTAAATATTAAAAAGAATTAGTTACACAGCTATCTATTGACTTGGAGTAATGGCCAAAATGTATGATGAGAACATTTGCAAAGAACTTTCTATCATATGATCCTATTTTATATGGGAAAAAAATGATAAATGTATTTATATGTTTGAACATGATGGCATGAGTATTGAAAAACATGTGGACAGATACATACCAGGCTGTTAACACACCGGTTACTGGGGGTAAAGGGATGGAAGCAGAGGAGATGAGGAGAGAGAAAATAAGGGAAAAAAAGATCTACACAAAACAGAAAAATATGCATGTAAGTGAAAACATAGAATACAAAATTCCACTAAAGGTCATGGTGTATTGACCAAAGTTACTTAAAAAGAAGTAACTTTTTAGGAAAGAGTATGTGGGAGATTATATATATGTCTTACATGTCTGAAATGTCTTTATCCTATCCTCACGCTTTTTTGATCATTTGACTGGGTATAAAAATGATTTTCTCCCCCTCCCAAAACCGTACTAAAACTATAGAAAAGAG